TAAACACACACATATTTACCGTGGCTAGTCCTCATCATGAATTGACTGCCTTATCATCTCAGAATGAACTTCTCTGCCTCCTGGACAGTTTTTAGATTTAAGTCTCTCTTGTCTGATATACAGCCACCCCTGCTCTCTTTGAGTTACTGTTTGCATAACTTCTTTTACTTTCTCTTCCTTTACTTTCTCTTCCTTTACTTTCAGCCAATATGTGGTCTCAAAGCTAAATGAGTTTCTTCTAGGCAAATGCAATTGGATCTTCTTTTTTTACCCATTTGACTAATTCAGTCTTTTCATTGGAAGATTTAGTTGATTTTCATGCAAAATAATTATGGACTGGTAAAAGATTTACTTTTTCCATTTTGCTGTTTTCTGTTTTGTATGTCCTTTGTTCTATTCTCATTTGCTAACACGTTTGTGATTTGATCATTTTTTGTAGAGTCATGCTTTCACATCCCTTTATCTACAGTAAATCTGCTATGAGATTTCCATGGGTCCATAGGGATTAACATTATGCTTACATAAAACATCTCATCGTTATCACCATCTATTTTAAACCACTAATATATTAACTTCAGCCACATATAAAAATCTGCATTTTAGCTCTTTCTGCCTCTACATTTCATGATTTGTATATTTCTTTGTAGTACTATGGATTAAACCATGAACTGAGTTATTTTACTAATAAGTTATTACAATTATAGAAATTTTCAGTATTTATATCTTTTAACTTTTACATTGGACTAAAAGGTATTCACATACAACCATTACTGTATCAGAGAATTTTGAACTTGCTTATATTCTTATGTGCACAGTGACTTCCATATGTTTTCATGTTATGAATGTCCTTTCTTGAACTTGGAGAGCTCTCTCCAGCCTGTCTTGCAAGCAGATCAAGTGATGCTGAAGTCACATGGGTTTTGTTTGTCTGGGAAATTTTTTAATCTTTCCTTCATTTCTAAAGGACAGCAACTTCTCCAGCAAAATACTCTTGGTTGGCAGTTTCTTCCCACACTGAAGATAGCACTCCAGTCTACCAGGTTTCAGCTGAGAAATCTGCTGGTAGCTTTCCAGGGGTTCCTCTATATGTGAGGAGTTGCTTCCCATGCTGCTTTTTAACTTTTGCTGTTTGGTTATAATGTATTTCAGTCCAGATCTCCTGTGTTTAATCTAGTTAAGTGTTCTTTGTCTTCATAGATTTAAGCATTTATTTCCTTTTCCATTATTTCCTGTCATTTTGTCTTTAAAGAAGCTTTCTTTACTCCTTTTGAATTCCAATAATATCTATTTTGGCTCACTCGATGGTGGCCCATAGGGTACATAGGATTTCTGTACTCTTTGCCTCTTTCTCTGACTGGTTATTTCAAATGAACCACTCCAAGCTCACAGATTCTTTCTTTGGTTTGATCACTTCTGCTTTTGAAACTCCTATATAAATGTTCAGGCCAATAATATGTTCCTCAGTTCTGGAATTTCTCTTTGGTTCTATCTGTGGAGTCTATCTCTTCCATGAATCTCTCATTTTATTCATAATTCTTCCCTGATATCATTTACCTATATCTGTGTATTCTCTAGGAGCTCCCTAAGTTTCTGGGAAGGTAATTAATTTCAATTCTACTTTCATTAGTTTGTACATCTCCACTCCTTTACAGTCAAATACCTGGTTCTTCATTGTGATGGTGTCATGATCTCTTTAGTATTTGTGATCCTGGTGCCCTTGTCTTGTCATTTACACATTTGAAGAAGTAAATGCCTCTTTAACTCTTCACACACTGGCTTTGTTAGTCACCCCATGCAGACAGTCTAGTTGCCTGACTACACAGTACATGGGTGGACTTGCTGTTGGAGTCTTTGGGGTGACCAAGACAGAGCAGTCAGAAATGCATAGAATCTAGAGGTCATATTTTGTGAAAAACAATCAGAAAAACAATTTATTTTACTTACAGAAGAGAAAGAATAAAGAAGATATCTTATACTCTAAAATAATCAAAGGACTATTAGTGTGGGATGAATGATTCCTATAGAGTTTAGAAAAACCAGGCCAGGATCAATGTTTAAAACGTGTTCTAAAAGGTACTCTATACGTGCATCTTTTTTGTGTGTTGATATTGTGAAGCATCTTTTGCCTTTGGTTCATGACAGATAGTTTTAGCACATAAGTACCCCTCAGCTTGTAAATAAATCAAGTTTCAAAATGAAAAATCATGTCAATTACAAAAAAGAATAATAAAATAAGCAAAGTAAGATATTCATAAATATAGATAGGTATAGACAGACATAAATGTAGATAGATAGATAGATAGATAGATAGATAGATAGATAGATAGTGTTACTTTGTCTTCCTTTGTATTTTATCTGTGGACTTGTTTCCATCTATGTTAACGTCTATTTGTGGCAAAACCTGAATCCTCACCATATACCTGTCTGCTTCCTACCTACTGGAAAGCCTTGTATTAAGAGAGAACTTGGCATAGCTGCATTCCTCGTAAACATATCCACATCTTTGCTGAATGCCTGTACAACAATGGCGTTCTGTGCTGCATTTCTTCATTAGCCTTTAGGAACAGTTCTTCTGACACTGATCTGTCAATTTTAGGTTTTAAATAAGTAAGGAGTATATTTTCTCATGTAAGACGTCTAGACATGACCATCCATCACTGCTAATGTGATTTCCTAGAGCCACTCCTTTTGGATTTCAGATTTCTTGGTGTTTCATGGTTGTAAAATGACTGCTTCACTATCAGTAACACATCCACATTCCAGAAAGGAGGCCGTGGAGGAAATAAGGGAAACAGGAAGTGGCAGCTAAATCTACCTCCTTTTAAAACATTTCTCTGTCCAGTAATTTCCAAATGTGTTTCCTTTGACATAACCACATCACACACTAACCTTAGCTACAGGGAAAGCTTGAAAATGTACCTGCAGTGGTGCCTCGGTTCACAAACTACAAACTCGTTTCATTCCACGATTCTGGGGAAGATATTTCATTAGCGTTCATCACCCAAGCCTTCACGAACCGAGGTATTACTGTATTCATTAATTGCATGCTCTAAAGAAATACATTATATTAGTGAGGAAGGAGTGCTGATCACAGATTCTAAAAGAGTTTGTCTGATAATCACCTTCTCTATGGAAGTGTCCTGAGATCCTCAAAGCAATATCAAAATACTTTTTCCCTAGCCTTTTTTTTTTTTACCTGTTAATCATCTCATTTTTCCTTAAGGTCAGAATTTAATGGTCATTTGTACCATATAGTGCAACACAAAAAAAAATTTTTGTTATATTTCACACTTTTTAACTTTCGTATGAGGGAGGAAAAGAGAACACTTTTCCACTTTTCTGCAAGTTTGTAAAATACTGTAGTGAAAGTGTGAATTGGACAACTTTATCAAGGACAGGCAAAGTACTACTCGTGGGCCAGACAGGGCTACAGACTGTTTCTGTGCATTCCATAATCTAAAAATAGTTGTGATATCTTTACAGAATTTGAAAAATAAGACAAGAAGATGCAGCAGAAACTATGTGTATGTTGCAAGGCCTAAAAGATGTACAACCTGATGAAAATATTTGGCAAGTTTTGACATAGATAATAATTTATCACACTTTTCTTTGTCTTTGTGTGCAATAGAAGAAAATTTGCCAGCCTGCCCCTGCTCCAACCTAGAAAACTGAATTTCCTACCCATTCTGAGAAGAGGAATGGGTCTTCCCTTGAACTCCTCACTCACCCTCATGAGCTGAATACTGAGGTTTTGATTAAGTTATAATCTTTAATGATTTTTGAGTGGTAGTTTTCTCTTGTCGCTATGCAGATTTGTAATGCAAGATCCCAAGTAGGAATTCGTGCGAGGCCCATGAGTTGTATTTCTCCCGTCTTGTCCTTAGATATTTCTAGTGCAGTTGAAGTTAAAGAGAAACAGAAATCTCTCTTGTCTTGACTGCTCCACCTGGCTAACACATCTAAGCCAGTGATTTCGGGAAGCATAAGTAAAACAGTCATCTACAAGTTCATTGATTTTAATGCTGTGTATAGGTTTTAAAAGTGATTTTAACGTTGTACACTCTTCCTCTACACTTAAGAAGAGCATGAGAAATTTTGTCTTCCTTGTCAGGGAAGCTCTGGGTGCCTGCTGTAGTGCCAGGTGGTGCACAGCTATAATCCCTGCACTCGGAGAGGCTGAACCAGGAGGAAGACAAGTTTGACTCCAGCCTGGGTAATTTAGCAATTTAGTGAGACCCCTGTCTCAGAAATAAAAAATAAAAAAGGATGAGAATGTACCTTAGTGCTAAGGCCTTGGGTTCAATCCCCACCCCCCAAAAAAACTCAAGATAAACTAAACAAAATATCAAAGCACATTCACACTCAATTGATGTGTACTAGGGCAAAAAACTCTCAGAAAAAAAAAAAAAACAAACAAACAAGTTCCTTACTGAGACCAGACCTTTTTATATTTCACTGAAAAAATGTACTGTAGGAGTAAAAAAGTAAGTGACACAGCAGAAATAGCAGCATGTTGTGAGTTACAGAGACCTTAAAATAAATAGATCGCATTCACCTTCCCTTCACCAGAATGTGCTTGCTAATTTGGTACCACAGAAGCATTTCTGTTTCAAAAGCTATAGGCAAACGGCACCAATTAAAATAGGATGGGCGTGGTTGCTACACTTTCATGTTTATGGAGCTTTTATATAAACACAACTATAAAAATGCACAAGTAATTTGTTCTGAGCTATTCTCTAAAATTTCTGTAGAGTCTCAAAGTGTTCTTTTCATCTGGATCCTGACTGGGCATATTTCTATTTACTTTTAGTAATGGTGTTTCTGTTGACAGCAGATAAAATGCTCTCATCAGAACAAAGGTCTCAGTGTTGATAACCAAACTGCAGCCTCAAGCAGCTAAACAAATAGCGGAGACCAGAGTCCACTTTAACCAGCCAGGCTTACAGAGGTCAAGTCAGACCTGAGGTGCCTGTCCTTTTAACACAGCTTCGTCCCAACAGGGAGCCGTCGGGATTTACCTCTGTAGAGCAGACGCATGGACTGTATCATCCAGAAGGCCGAAGCCCTGGACAGTGCTCATCTGTTGCAGATCACCTGGGACGATGGAGGAGAGTCCCTGTACCCAGCCGTGTGGCTGAGGGACAACTGCCAGTGCTCTGACTGCTACCTGGATTCTGCGAAAGCCCGGAAACTTCTCCTGGAAGCTCTTGATGTGAACATCAATATCAAAGGCTTGACATTTGACAGGAAAAAGGTAATTTTCCCCAAATGATCTCTCCCTACCCTCCCACATTAAATAAAGTTGCTGCTCTGTCACTTGGTCGTACATGTAGCCATCTAGATTACTGCCTGTGTGGTGCAAGTTAATCATATTCACCAAATGGAAGCATCTGCTATTAATATTACCACTACTATTTTTTTTATAAAATCTGCAGTGTTACTCATGATTGTTTTAGTCAGTGGCAGCCTTAAGACAAAATCCAACTATTCATACAATAAAAACAGCGCAGCTGAGACTACATTTATCCATCTGTAAGACAGGGATAGCAGACAGTGTTTGCTCATAGGGATGGCAGGACTCATAGGGATGTCAGTGAGATAAGATGGGTAGACGTGTTTACCAAAGTGCTTATCAAGATCACTGGGATGCAGTGATCACATAATAAATAGTGCTGGTTAAAATTTTAATCAGATCAGTGGGCAGATGTCTAAGGTTTGCCCTGAAAGCATAGTTCTCGAAACCTAACCAGATGTGCCCACCTTCCTGGCTGTCTCTTCCAAACTCACCTGCACTCTTATCGAAAGATAAATATAACCAGAAAGGCCACCCTATGTTCACTATGTGGTCCTCACCTCACCAAGGACTTTACCGGTATGTCCCACTGCCAGTGGTATTGCCTACTCCCTAGAGTTACACTTCTGCTGCATGTTGTATGGTAACCACTCAGGATGATGTCATGACTTTTACTGTGACTCTTCGAATCATTATCATTATTATATGTTCTTCTTGTCATCATTAGTGTTTCTAATACCCTTGACAGGAATCTTAACTGATACCTAATTTCAGTTATCACAGAAACTTTGGGGGCCACTGGTTTAGAGGATACAGCACAAGAATATCAGGTCCAACCAAATTCTACTTTTGCAACTCTAGTTTAGCAGCAACAGCCTTTAGATAACCCTCTTGGCTTATTGGAAAAGTAAGAGAAAGCAAAGACAACTGGATTCCCCAGTTATCGCAGATCACATCCAGAAACAGCAGCGGTGGTAAACAGGAACACACACACATGGACTGCACAGATAGGTGATATTTGCCTTCTGTATTACAAGGTTTACATCACGTGGCCGCATGAGCACTTCAGCGAATTTGAAGCTGATTGGCTGAAGAAAAGATGCTTTTCCCGGCAGGCCAGAGCCAAGCTGCAAGGAGAGTTGTTTTTGCCAGGTAATGTTACCATGGACTTCAACATCTTTTAAAACCCTCATAATAAGGATATTATAAAATGTATATAATTATTTTAATTGCACATAATTATGGGATACAGGGTGATAATTTGTGCAATGGTCAAATCAGAGCACTTAACACTTCCATCTCCTTTGAAAGGATCTCATGGTGAGAAATGTGCTCAGCAGTAAATTCGCACCCTTGCGCTTGGGGTAAGATGGTCTTGTAGTTCATGGGGATGTTTAAAGCGCTACCAGTATGGATCACCTGGGCAAAAACGAAGAGTACTATGGAGCATCTCCATGTTCCAATGAGGTAGAAACAGAAGATGTGCAGCTGCTTAGCATCTTTGTCATCTAAACATTGACCTGGCACAGAACACACGCTCTAAAAGTGTCCCCTGCAGAAAAGCAGGCTACACCAGAGGCACACTTGCCCTGCTTAACATTTTGATCTCAGGCCAGATCAACACAAATCAAGGAAGCAGGAATTCCTGAGCTGGTGACCACAGGTGGAAGTAGGTCATCCCTGAATCCATGAACTGATGAACACAGCAAAGATCTGAGAAGTCTGCAGAACTAGGGCACTGCAGAGGTTGTTGGTGGCATCCTGCAAAATGCAGCACTGAGTGTGCCTATGCGTGAGTGTGCCTATGCGTGAGTGTGCCTGTATATGTGTATGTCTGCATGCACAAGCACATTTGCTGGGGATAGTTTACGTGAGTCTCAACGAGAACCTGTGACCAAAACAACTGTTCAGAAAAGCAACAAAGGATGGTCTCAGAGGGAAAAGAAGACATTCCTTTTGAGCTTAGACAAGATAAATACCAGAAACAAATCAACCTTTTAAAATGGAAAGGCACAATAATAGGGCTCAAACAGAGGCACTGGTGAGGGTAGGAGAAGTTTATGATTCACTTTCTCTTGAAGATTTATTACACGAAATTATGTGGGTCAAAGGCAAGCTTTAGCATATGTGATTATTTTTATATATTCACAAGAAACTTAACTTCTACCAAGACATCAACAAGGTAAGTTGCTTTCATTTTGACTGTTAACCAGATAATATGGATCATTCATTATCCCTTGAGGAAGTGATCCTCATGTTGAATTCTCTAACACCCATGGTGGAAACTCCAAGTCAAGTGTGAAGTAGAAAATCCAGCCTCCTCTTTTCAAGTCGGAAATTCTCCAACGTGTGTGGTGATCTCCATGGCTTTAAACACTAGCCTTACAACAGTTTCATGGCCATAGAGATGTTACTCATTAATCAATGTGATAGCTTCCCCTTTCTTTTCCTATGGTTTTCAGTAGTAAGGTATAGTAGCATCTGCTCCTCTTTAACCATAGACCAGTCTTGTTGAGAATGAAGTTCTTCTACTTGTTTAATCTCATTATTCTGACAACTGACACGGTTTTACTTGAATGCATTATATCTAAGCCAGTGGGGTCCATTTTCTTTGTCTAGCCCTGTAGCGGCTGAGCATAGACGAGCATCCTTGGAAAACTGTTATTCTGGTTCCCTCCACTGGATGCATTGCTAGATTCTTCAGAGATCTCCAGTTAACCTAACTGTGGAGCAACTGTCTGGGTCAAATAGCAATATCTCAAATGCATTGTTTTTTATTTATTTTAGATTTCTTCTGGTACTCAAAATATTTATTCCTTAACTCTGCCCTCATTTTGTAATCCTTTTGGATTTTAGTTTCATTTCCTTCCAGTTCTTCTTAGATTATTTCAGGAAGTAAAGCCAACATTTTATTATTACAGTTTCAGCTTTTAAGCTCTGTAAAAGGATAAGGCCACTCCCCTCCATTAATATTTCTGGAGGAGTGCACTTCTGTAGCTTTTGTAGTTCCTCAGTACTATCAGGCAGTAGCAGGCTGGAAAGGACACTAAACTCAGTTAAGTAGTGGAAAAAAAACGCTCACCATGCCAGGCTGCAGTCATGAATAACATAAGGAGCGCTGGCTGCTATGCGGACACTGGAAAATATTTTAATGGTTTAAAACAAGATCAGATTTTCAAAAATACATTCTCAAGCTGTGCAGTTAGTGTGTAAAAGAAGAAATTAATGGACCATGTTTGGAACACTGGCTCCATGGCTCTTGGCCTATAGAATTCGATACCCTGTCTCACTGCCACTGCATAGTTTCAAACACTGAACCTCCAGAGCATGTCAACAGACTCAGTTACATTTGTAAAAGAATTTTGTATTTCAGTCCCAGTGGCAACGTTCCCTCTCGTGTTCCTTCCTTAGAGGAAGGACTTTTCAAACCTGTAGTCACAGTCTTCCCCTGACAAGTGATAATCAGCCTTGGGACTGGCGTATTCGGACAGTCTGGGGCCAAGCTGTCACAACAGAAAGGAAGATGTGGGGAATCATTTTCTCTTCCTAAATTTCCATTCGGCAGCACAAACATTGGGTGCCAACGTGCTGCAGACTCTGGAAGGAAGTACCAAGATTAAAAGTAAAAACCTAGGCTTTGTCCCTGAGGGCTTTCCAAGTCTAGCAGGGAGCAGCAGCCATGAAAACAAGTAAATGTGATGCGTTACTTTGAGTCCATTAAGACTGTGCACTGTGGGCTAATGATGTGATGGAAGAGCGGATTTGAAGAGACGAGAGAATAATTTTTCATCTGGGTTGACAATTGTCCTCCAGAATGTAAGGAAATTCTCAACAGAGAAAATGGCATGTAGAAAATCATCCATGTAGAGGGTAGGGGTACTGCAATTAATTTAACGCTGGGTGAGGTTAAAATGTTTAGGCAGCAAAGAAGGAAAAGGTCAAGCTAGGAAACAGCTTCAGTCCCCGTGGACCTTTGAATCCTAGTGAAGACTGCCCAGGTGGGGTCCCATTCCATCCGTTCCCCAGTGGAGTGCCTGACACTCACAGGAATAAGTTCAAGACCTTTACAGGTCTAAGAAGATGAGCACCTACATTATTTAGACTGCATTTTACGTGTTCAGCATTGCATCTGCTGGGTTTTGATGAAATGAGTATAAGCTCTCCAGTGCTTCCAAGCCTGTGACCATCTCCTATACTTCATTTTCCTCTTGTCCCGGCCTCCCTTGCCTGGGGTGCCTCCTGGACCCTAGCTTCACGGAGACCACACAGAGCATGCACGCATCAGATCTGTGGTACAGAAGGCCTTGAGTGCGGGTGTGGGCGTTGGACAGGCCAGATGGCAGATGACGGGAAAGATGAGCACAGAACAGCCTAGGAACAGGTCTCTAAGAGACAACGTGACAGTACAGATAGAGGGGTCAGTTGGATTCATGTTAACTACCAGGATACAAGGTCCCTGGCCCTATTCTCTCCTCTCTGCCAATTTACAACTTCAGTGTGCCAGCCTAGCATATGAATATTTCCACACATGGGTGGAAGTTCAGGTCTTTAAGAGAACCCTAGAAACATGAAGATTTTTTCATGCGATTATACTTGAGCTTCCATGTGAAATTTTCACATAATTAGACATTCATTTGTAAGATTGTGAGACCCAAAATTCCAACTGCCTGAACTAAAATGAAAGAAGAAAATCAGTATGCTATGATTTTATTATCTTTACAAACTTCTTTGTTCTTTCTGTGAATATTCAGTGTCTGAATGAATGTTTGCTTTTCCTATATCTTTGAGTTGGTACTAAAACATTCTATATTAATCACTAATTTTAGTAATATTTGTTATTGAAAGCATTTTTGTTTTTGTTTTTGTTTTTTTTGGTACTGGGAATCGAATTCATGACTTCAAGCTTGCCAGGCAAGCATTTACGCCTCTGAGCTATATCCCCAGCCCTGTTATTAAAAGTTGAGATTTAAAAAGTTGTAATTTTTTTCACTGAGCTGGTCTGGTCAGATTTGTCAGTAATCCAGGACTGAACACCTCAAGCAGTCAGTAACATTTCTCTGTTTGTTTACTTATTTATTTACTTTTTGATTTGAAGTATGGGGGATTGAACTCAAGGCCTCATACCATTTGGTACATTTCCAGTCCCAAATGAACATTTCCCCTTCAATTTATATATCCCTCCCAGTCATTACCATCAACTTAATCCAGTTGCAGCCCTCACCCCACAGCTACAGTCCACCCCTTTGCTCCAGAGAGCGCACCACAAGAGGAGAGGTCTCTCCAGCAAACATCAGGCCCTGTAAAATCTATTTGCTGTCCACAGAGCAACAAAAACAAAATACAGTGCTCTCCTTTCCTAAAGAGAACTGTGTGTGTACTTGAAGATGAAAATTATATTACAATGGAAAAACATGCTGCAAACACCACAGTAACAGAACCTTGTCAAAAAACAAAAATCACACATGAACGTGTTTTTAATAAGCAAGTAATGTACACATTACATACTTCTGGCACCCTGTGATGTTTTACCCCATCGTTAAGCTTAGACCTCCCAGAGGTGGGAGTCTGCAATGGAGTGATGGTGTTTGTTCCTCCTACTGTTGTACCTGGTAATTGTAAAATAGAGATAGGATATTTTGGTGTTGGCTGTGTTTTAGCCTGCTTTAGAATGCCCCAACTGTCTCAGGGTTGTCAGGTCAAACTGGCTCCTCAATAGCTCTGCCAATCCACTTCCTTATAATCAAACCACCAGGCATCTCCCAAGCAAATTTCCTTCCCTAGAGAGAAATGTGGTATTGCCACACGGTGCAGTGCTACTCTGCAAAATAGAAGGATAGGGAGTTAGATCACATTACTATCACACTTTCACTCCCTTCCCCTCTCTCCTCTCACCCCTCCCTCCATTTCTTGGTCCCTTTCTCTCTTGCAAAAGATATTCCTGTTTCCTTATATCCACGTTTTATTTTGCTCTTTATTTATATTGCGGGTTTCTCATGTAGGAGGCCCCATGTGGTACTGCAGCTCATATGTCTGCTTCATTATGACCTCACGGTGCACCCATTTTCCTACAGAGGACTCAAGTTTACCCTTCTTTACGGCAGAGCAGTGCTCCCCTGTGTGTATGTACCACATTCTCTTTATCCCTTCCTCTG